GTAATGCAGTTATAGCAGTGATATTTGGGTATAAGAAAAGTCACCGTTGAGCATGTCAAACTCATTTTTTACTTTAAACTTATACTGCATATCTATCACGTGAAAGTTGTTTATTTATCATTGGCCCATATAAACAATAATTCTAAGAAGGCTCTCTGCTTGTTATGTTTCATATTGCCTAAACTCAGAGCCACAGACATTTATGATCTTTCATCAAGAAGTTTGCTTTCAGTCTATGGCCATGCCACCCTAAACAAGCCCGATTCCATCTGATCTCGGAAGCTAAGCCAGGTCGGGCCTGGTTAGTACTTGGATGGGAGACCACCTAGGAAGACTAGGTGTGCTATTGGCATAAAAAAATAAAAAATAAGTGATTGTAAGCTGACAAGTTTCTTGCAATCTGTGAGGTGAACCAAGGGTTGCCTCACCTAAAAAAAGGAAAAAAGAAAAAAAAAGTTTGCTATCAGTCATAAAATGCTTTAAATCAATTCATGAGTAAGCTGTAAATCAATTCATGAACGTACATTTAGGGTATGAATACACTATTGGGAAAAGGACAAATGAATGTAATTTAAAAAACTACTGAAAAGAACATCATTGTTCTAAGTAAATATATTTGATGGATTCAAATTTTTAAAAAATGTATACTTTTCCCATGTGATTGAGTAGTGGTTAGGTATGAGAACTGTGAAATTAGACTTGCCTGGGTCCTAATCCTAATTCTCCCACTCACTGGTCACATGACTTTTGGCTAGTTACTTGATTATAACTAATTATAATTACTGATTTCTCCTCTGTCAATAGGAGAAAATAACACTGCCTACCTACTGGATAGCTATGGCGATTAAATGAGATAATACATATAAAGCTAATACTCAGTACATAGTATGTATCTAGTAAGTTCTTATTATTATTTCCAAAGAATATCTTAAAAGTTAGTGGGACCAACCACTTCTATCATGAGTGCATGCATATGTGTGTGTGTGTGTGCATGTGCGCGCACGCGTGTTAGAGGATATAAAATATATACAGAGATGATTTTTGACCCAAAGTTTTATAGTATCCTATTCTTAAGTTCTTAGCACCACCACCCTCTCCTCTGGCACAAATTTAACTCTCATTTTAGGGTCAAGACCACATTTGATCACATTACGTCTTGGGCAACTGTCTCACAGGACATGTTCTAAGGGAAGTTTAATTCTCCCTGTCCAAGCATTTTTAATGGCATAGAGTCAAGGATTTCAAAACTGTTTCCAGAGGTGGGTTTTATCTTGCAGCTCTTAACTCAGAAAGTACTAATGGTTTCGACAGTGTTAACAGCTGAAACTTAAAACGACACTGTTTTCTGTTAGCTCAAGATCCTTCCCACAAAGCTCAGAAATGGTCTGGGGAGCAGATGTGCACAGAGTAGTCAGAATGTTGGTGGTTTTGGTTTAGAATTTAGATTTTACTTTCACTATTACTAGGCAAAATCAACTGACACCAAATACAAAACAATACAAAACAGGAATAGCAGGTTGTTCTTTAAAAGCAAGCCTAGCATTGAAAAATTAAGGCTTAAGCAGATACATGTACATATTTAATTTTAGTATAAACTTTTGTGAGCTAAAGGGTTCAGTTTCTAGAGCCTTCTATTTAATATAAGTTTTACTGAAAAGTCAGAACCAGTACAAGAAATAGAAACACTTTAAAACTTTTTCTTTCAACATTTAATACCAGGCTTTATGCTAGGTGTCAACATAGAGATGTATAAAGATACAGTAGTGAAGCAAAAATGTAAGGAGATAAGTGACAGCACACCAAGGTAAGTGTTGAGATAGAGGTTCAAAACTAAGTGCTGTGAGAGCACAAGGAAGGGAGAATTGCCTGGAGCCTGCAGAGGCTTCAGAGAGAACGCACCTTTTGAAATATGATTTCGAGGAATGATATATCCCACCTTGCATTTTCTTGTCGCTAACAACAAAACAATGTAATATAAATACCAATCCCATACAACTCACTCGAGGGGTTTCAGATATTTTTTCTCAGTCTCACTAGAAACTTAAAAAGTAAGTATTGATGTTTCAGGAGACAGGTTGGGAAATTGGAGTTCAAAGATTAAGAAGCTCAATCACATAGCTAATGAGTACTGGACCCAGGATTTGAGCCCAGATTTGTATCATTCCAAATCACTTATTGTGGCCCTGCACTGCCCAGAAAGATCTACTTCTGTTCCCTATTGCCAGCTAGTTTGTGCAGTCTATGACTGGGAACTCGCTTTGGAAGCCTATCTAGAATGTCGAACTTCGGCCTAAACAATTGGATGTTAACTGAAAGGTCAAGATCACAGTGACTCTGTATACACAGTTCACCTGGCCCGCAGTACCCTCTCCTTTCTCTGAACTTCAACCACATTTAGTTTGAAATGGTTTATTGTGATTCGTATGCTTGCCAGGTTCCCTCTTCCATGCTCTATGAAGACCTTGAAGTCAGGGAATAAGCCTTATACTTCTTTGAGACCCTCAGGGTCCAGCATTTACGCAAGTTAGCTGATTGCTGATTCTCTTTGGTGCTTTACAGAAGCCTTGTTAAGTGTGTATGTTGATTTGAGTTAGCTTGACTAAAGTGAGGTAACTAGACTTAAGGTTCACATGCTATAAAATAATTTTTTCAAAAAGCGACCTAGGCAGTATAACACAGTGGTTTTCAGATCAGTGTCACTCATCCTTTAGTGTGTATGTAGATCAACTGACTACATGTAGAATTGTCCAATTCACCCTATTAGAAAACAGGCACAGAGTAGACAACTGTATTGCAATAAAGCAAGTGGAAGGGGAAAGTGGGGAGACTCAACTTGTGGGGTTCATATCCCGTTTCCAAATCTTGTTGCTGTTTCCAGTTCTGCTGTCAGGGCGATGAAGAGTAGTAAGAGTACATAACAGCTACCTTAACTGAGTACTTATAAAGTGCTTGGCACTGTTCTCGCTGCTATAAGCATGTTATCTAAATCTCATAGTACCCTATAATACTATAGTTATATCATTGATGATGGGGGAAAAAAGTAGCAGTTACTTCCTTAAATTTATAAAGAGTAGGGATTTACTCCTAGTTCATCTGAGTCAAAAATCTAGGCTTGAATGGTTCCTTGACACTGGGCAGCCAGGGAGCAGTCCAGCTATGTTTAAGCTTGAGGTCAAAGTGCCATTGGTACAAGAAGGACAGAGCGCACTCAGACTTGCAGAATAAGGCCCTCCACAGGTTTGTGCTCTTAGCACTTACCTCATTGTGGGTTTAACTATCTAATAGCTGGAGCTGCCTCAGATAATACCTGGTGGCTTGCAAGGTACTCGAATTCTTTTAGTAAATTCCTAACGTCAGTCTCTGCCTTTTCCTTAGGAACACTCCAGGAATTTTTTCCATCTGCTGTCTAGGAGGAAGGCTCCACCCTAGATTTTCGTCTTGATTTAGGTTAATTAAGGCTAGTGTTAGACTTATCTTTTAAGGCCTAATAGGATGCAAGGTTGTCTCCCGGGATTGAAAGGTAACAAAGGTACTGGAATTGTAAAGGTGTAGAAGTTGCCAGAGGAGCAGGCAGAAAGCAATTTAAAAGCTCAAGAGAACAGCTTTTGGACAATTTTCATTTTGGCTTGGAAATAGAAATGGGGTAAAAAGAGATGCCTGCTTTCAGTAGAAGAACAAACCAACTAGTGAAAAAACGATTAGTTGCCATTAATTGCTCCATTCACGTACATCCATCCGTCTTTTCCTGACTGCCAAGACAGAGTAATAATTTAATTTTTGGTGCTCGTAGAATAGCTGATATTGATAAGACATCCCAGAAGAAGATTTCATATTACTCAGCAATCTTGTCTGTCCATTTTTTCACTGGTCATATTTTCCCATATAGATAGCTGTCAGCTATCAAGAAGGCAGTTTGCTTTTCAACCTGAAAATGGGTAGGAGAACGTTGAAAAGAAAAGCATGGTTCAGATCAATAAATGAGGCGAACCCCTCCCCCATACTCTTAAACAACAGGTGGTTTTTGAGGTGCAGCATCAACTCCTTTCCGCACAGCATGAAACTGTAGGCGGTAGGCGGTGCATTCGATTTCAGCGTCCCTGGAACCCGCTGTTGAGAGATCAAGCAGCCTGGCTGTCTCGTAACATGGGAGTTCCTGCCGGAGAGGGGACTCGAGTGTCAAGGGGCTGATGGGCTTCACGGTCCAGGGAAATTGGCTTTTGCCTTCCTTCTTCAACGTCTACGCCGATGCGTCCCACGACCCCTCCCACTCTTCTGTTTTCAGGCGGGGAGGGAGATAAGGAGGCGGGATTATCACTACCGTGACCCCGGTCCTTCCCAGGAGTTCCCAGAAGGGCTATTTTTAGTGGTAGCTGTCCCCTCTATCTTACCCGGGGGAGGGAGGGCTGCCGAGCCGACGCTGCGCGCAGAGAAGCCTCGGGTTTTCCGCGCATTGTTCGGGATGGGGGGCGGGGGGAAGGTACTAGACCCAGCCGATTCCCCTCGGCAGAGCCGCCAGGTGGGCGGATCAGAGGCCGGAGTGGCCCCGCGGGGGAGCAGTGGGAGGCTTTTTTTCCACGTCCTGAAGGAAGTCCCCAGCGGGGGGGCGGCAACCCTCGCCGGCGGGTGCCCGGCCCGGGGTGGTCTCTACAGAGGAGGAAGTTCCCGGGCACAGCGGCCTGCTTCACAGCGGGGCTGGGACCGCGGGGTGGGCTGGCGGGCGGCGGTGGCGACCCCGCG